CGACTCAAGATCAACCTGTTCTTTGCTTCGCCAGCACACCCCCAATCGAACGGACAGGTCGAAGCCATGAATAAAATTGTCAAGAAGCTGTTGAAACGGCACCTTGACAGAGCTAAAGGAGCCTGGCCGGAAAAGCTTCCAGAGGCGCTATGGGCCATCCGGACATCCTACCGAATGGCAACTGAGGAAACACCATTCTCTATGGCTTTCGGTTCAGAGGCAGTAGTCCCAGTGGAAATCGGAGAGCCTTCCTACCGAACGGAAACCTTCGCACCGCAGGCGATTGCTGTGAGCCTCGACCTGCTCGAAGAACGCCGAGCACAAGCCAACCTTTGGAACGAAGCTTACAAGCAACGCGTCTCTCGGTACTATGACTCCAGGGTCAGATCCCGCTATTTCCGAATCGGAGATTGGGTCATGCGGAAAGTCTCTTTGGCAATCAAGAATCCCACGAACGGAACCCTCGGACCTTCCTGGGACGAAATCATCGGTATCCAGCGATCGGGGACTTATCGACTCAGAGACTCCAACGGAAAGACCCTCGGTCATCCTTGGAACGTAGAGCATTTGAAGTACTATTTCAAATGAAGTCACCTGGCCTACGACAGGGTCACGGAGGAGTCCCAAAAGCCTTCGGCATCTCTACAAGCGCAGCCTTCGGCATTGTAGCATTTCCTAGCCAACGGCGGGTTCTAAATTGTAAAACGCACTCCAAATTGTACTTTTGCCTTCGGAAGTTTATCAATGAAAGGGCCTTCGGCTCATATATTCAGAACCTCTGTTGTACCTTTCAAACTCTCCGTTTTCTGTTCAAAAGAAAAGGATACGGTAGGGACCATTGGTCGCAGTAAACTACACATTTTGGCATCGCCATTATCCTACCGATTAAGGGACAACTTTGTAGACTTTATTGACCTTTATAGGCTTTCGGTAATTACGGGCCGTTGCTTTGCCATCGGCAAGCACGCCTATTGGTTTCAATTCCCTAACACTTGAACTTTTTGCGTGAAAGGAAACTTTACTGGCCGAAGCCGATGACTTTTGTTTGAGAGCCTTCGGCATTAAACAGAGAAAATTTCCTAAGTACATTACCGATTCAGAAGTAAGATGCAATTAAATTAAAATCAAAACCAAAACACAACTTTAATAAAAACATGCCCACGACATCAATTATCCAAACAAAAGATGCCAACCGCATCAAAGTTGCAACGAAATTACAAAAAATGCCCTCGGCATCAAAATTACATAAAATAAAGGCAGGTGATCAGGATGAAGGGCCCTCGGCATCCGCCCCTTCGGCACCAGTGGCTTCAGGCTCCTCCGGAGCGTTTTCCCCCTCGTACTCCTCAATCATTTCTTCTGTAACGCCTTCGGGAATGGGGGGAGGATCGGCAGTGAAGTTCAAGTTGAGCTTCGTCCCAGGATTGTACCGCTTGAATCGGTAGATGAGATCCACCATCTCCGAGCCCACCTCCTTGTCAAGCAAGGTGGAGAAATCGGGAGAGTGGCGATACTTCTAAATGGCCTCCTGGACGGCAGCCTCAATCTCCGATGCCTTGGCCCGCTCCGACTCCTCCAGAGCCACCTCAACGGCTTCCTTCGCCTCCAGAGCCTCTTTTGCCGATAGCTATGCCGACTCCAGGGCTGACGACAGATCTGCGAACTTGGACTCATATACCTTGACCTGCCGTTCGGCAGCCTGCAAATCCTTCGCCAGGTTCGCATGATCCTAGATAGCCTTGCCAGCCTCGGCAACCCTGGCCCTGCCGTCTTCATAGGCCTTCTTCGCCTTCTCAGCAGCGTTGATGGCCCGCTTCATGCAAAGCCACATGTCCATCGAAGCCTGCAGAACAAAGGGCACGTCAGCCAAAGTATTAAAAAAAACGATCGGTAGGATGGACCTGGCAGTACTCGGGACTTACCGATGCTTGAAGACGGAAGGCGCGACCCGCCTCCTCTCGAAGGAGCTTCTTCGGCAGCTCCTCGATCTCATTCAGCTCCATTTGCGAACCAAGGATCATATGGTTCGCAAACTGAACTGTCTTCGGCGGACAGGCCAGGGGGACGGGATCGGCAGGCTCCTCGTCGTTGTCAGCAGCGAAGATGGCCCGAGTAGGCTCGGCCTGCAGTCCGCGTTTTGGGGCCAGTTCGGCATCTAGGTCGACGGTAAAGGGCCGTTTACCGGCAGCTAGGGAGGAGGTCCCTTCGGTAGTGGCGCCTCGGTGAGGAGAGGGGCCGACCGCTGTCGCCCCGCCCTGTGCCGAATCGGCGTCGAGCTGACGGAGACGGTCAGCTAGAGTCTGGTCCTCCGGGTCTACCGATGTCGAGCCCTGCGGCCGATTTTTCTTCTTCTTCCCCTGGAAGCCCATCATGAGACGGCGCTTGGAGGACTCGTTCATCCTCTTAGCCTCGGCAGCTCTCCTCTCTTCCATCACTGCGAAAAGAGGGTTCGGTAAGACACGCAAAAGAAGAAAAGAAACAATTTGTAAATTACGAAGTGTACGTACTCTCGGCAGGATCGACCAGCTGGGCTTGAATCAGATTGGTGGTGAAGAGAAACTGCGGATACACCCTCTCCTCGGCAGGGACTTTCCTCCTCACTCTCTCCACTTGCTGGATCTCGGCCTGCGTTGCGATCGGCTGCTTCAACTTATCTACAAGAAGAACAGATAGGAAGGATCACTTACGGTAAACGAGGAACCCAGAGAAGGTACCGAACCGCACGTGGTCCTACCGGCTATTTGGAAGGTTGGGGGAATGCGAAATCGGACAGGCTGTCCCGAAGGCGATTCCCAGTCGCCCGAGAGGAGCCCCCGCCGATTCCTCC